GCCCGGGATCGTTTTAAGGGTACCCTAAAAAGACGGATGTTGATGTATGGTCAAAAGACGACCCAAGACGTCAGTTATATGACTTCTTGGGATGAGACTACTTGTATATAGTCACTTCACAATGAGTTTGTGATAGTCTTTTCTTCCCTGTGACGTATCTGAGTGAAACGGCTTGTCGAACAAGAAAAAAAAAATGTAGGCCTCCAGTAAACACATCAGACAAGAGATGTCTGCAAGGGCATTAAAATGCATTAAAATAAAAATAATAGGCTAATGATGATGATGTGCATGGATAAATTATTTATTATAAATACTGGAATATTCCATAAAAATTAAGAATAATTTTCACATAAAAATAAATAAAATTCTGGATGTTTTATGTGGTCTCAGAAATTGGGACCCCACTGTCCTGTCCCATTCAGAGCAAAGCTTTAGTGCGGGGGCCAGGGGGATTGATGTGGACTATTTGAACAGACCATTATGTCGTTCTTTCTTTCTTTCCCTCTCACTTTTAGCCCCCTCGCTCTTCCTCCATGCCCTGTCATTACTTGCAGAGCAAGAAATGTCACAGTGGGGCACTGATGTCAGAGTGGTACAGTCCCCTCCTGAGCGTTAAATTAAGCATTCACACCAAAGAGAGACAGAGAATGACCCTTTTAGTTCTACTCTTGACATGTTATACTAGACCACACGGTCCCATCTGCAGATCTTTCATTCTGTTCCGTCCCACTCTTACGAACCAAATCTTATAGTCTACCACTGAAAGTACCTTTAAAACTGAGCTAATCAACTTTTAATTGATTGAGGAATGGTTTTGTCTCTCTCTTCCTATATAGGTTTCTACAGTATATGGTTGTTATTAATGTGTTCTGTGGTTTTTACCACATAGGTTGCTGGTTGCTTAGTGCATTCAAGTTATGTCCGAAAGATTATACAAGTCGACTGCATATGAACACCACCGCAAAGTCATAATTATGAGTGGAAAACTGTATTTGTTTAAAATAAACGAAATTGTCTTTTTATTGACTTAAAATTTGATATAGCCTATATATATATTAAAAAAAAACTAGTCAAATTGCATGCACAGAATACAGTACGATAGAATATTTAACAATTCAGTTTATAGCACCGTCGTGTATAATGAAAACATAAAAAAGAAAAAACACACCTGTACATTCTTTACATTTTGTAGAAATGTTACTTAAAAAAAATTTAGACTGAATTTTTTATAAAGGTGGGTATGTCTCTATTGATTTGAATGTGTCTGGCGTCATATTACGATTTCCCAAATAGATACAAACTTCTCAGGACCTGAAGTCAGAACCCACCCCTCATGTCTTATTTCAACGCGTTATTACTCTGGTTGCTCATTTAAATCTGTGAGTTATCTCTTTTTTCATTTAGCAGGTGAACATCATCTGGTTGCCTTAAAAATCACAGAACATCAACAGGTTGCATGATTTGGCATCACTATATTTTTTTTAAAAAATCCCTAACCCTATTATATATATATATATATATATATATATATGTGTGTGATGTTAGCAAATCAGAAAGCAGAGGAAGGAGAAAGGTAGCAGGTTCTCCAATCTCAGTTCTTCCTCAGTTTTGGTTGACAACTGCAAAACACCTTGGCCCCCTTTCTGACATGTGACAAAGACACCATACGCAAAGTATTTTCGCCCTTTGCGAATGAGAGATCATTTTTGCACCTGCTCGCCACAGGACTTGCGGGGGAGGAAGGCACAGACGGAGAGGGGGGAGAAAGCGGAGGGAGCATAGAACGGAGGAAGAGAGGGAGAGATAATAGCAGATGAGAAGCAGGCATGGCAACAGGTTACGAGGGAAAAGCAAAAGGTGCCGATATCTTAATGGTTCAGTAAATTGGCTGTTTGCTACACATCAGCCCCCAGACAGACACTCAGCGCCACAGGGCCTCCCAGAAAACACAGCAGAACAACAGAGAATTCTCCTAATTATGAGCTGATTGCACTGACAGCAATCCGTGCTCTGATTACAGCTGGAATAAATTATACAAACCTCTATGGTTAAAGGGCTTGGGTTATTTCTGGTTTCATTCCTTCATTCCCCACCGCAGATAAGGCCTGTGTTTGGCAAAGATCACACTTAATGGCTTATTTGGTGAGGCCCACATTTTGTGTTGCCATTTTTATATTGTTTTAATTTTGAATCATAAATGTGAACAGTCCTTTTTGTTTGGCAGTTTGACCAATAAAACAGTTATGTCTGTCAAATGCAAGACAAAATAAAAAGTGCTTGAATCAACATGAAATTATGAGCATTATATAAGAAGATATTCAGGGAGCCCTACAACTGGGTTCTCTGCATTTTTTACTTCAAGACCCCCATTGTCAAAGGCAATATTTGAATGCCTCTACAACAAAATGTGAATATTCATTATAAATAATAGCAATCATCATAATTCTGCTTAAAGTTGAAGTTTATTTGATGGTGAAATATTTTGTCCTAAATTAACATCCAAACGTTGAAATTATTAAAACTTGATAAAAGTGACTTAAATGGTCTCAGAGTGTACAGTCTCAGTCAAGTCAAGTCAAGTCACCTTTATAAAGGCTAGCGCATTTTACAATACAGATTGACTTGAAGCAGCTTTGCAGTGACAACAGGAAAATAATGCAACAAAGTTCTAATGTTTCTAGAAGAAAATAGCGTCATAGTCCTGCTTAAGCAAGTTCAGTGATGGTTCATTTTTGTTGTAAAAAAGTTATTAATTTAGTTCATTTATAGCTGCTCTGGAGAAAACTGTGATGTCATTGTCCAGCTCAGGTCAGTTCTCATAAAATGGTGTCAATGCAGGCATATCAATAACATTGTTGAATATTAAAATGTTCCCAAACAAGCAAGCAAGGCTACCGTGGCAAGGAACCAAAATTCCATCAGGTGACAGAATGGAGAAGAGTGTTTTGGCCTGTTGTAGCCAATAATAAGAAACGCACACTGTTTTCTCAGTTCACTGCATTAGTGGGTTTAACTCTGAGAAGGCAAAAACAAACTGTGACTAGTCTCTTGGTCTATCCTTGCCATGTAAGTGAGTGAAGCGTCCATTATTCCTCCCTCTGTGACTTCAACTCATGAGCTCCTCACTGGCCAGACAATTACCATGAATTATCTTCACTTCCAGACAATCAATTAAGAGAATTATTGAACTCCTCTGAAACCTTATCGGTTCTCCCCAGCAGGGCAGCAGTGAAGATAGATCGCAGATTGTGAAACCTCTAAAGACTGACTCTTTATCACTTTGCGTAGGCTACTACCACATGGGCCTGCAGTCACTCTGCCACAACAGGCTGAACTAAACAACCTTTAAACTAGTAAAGCTTTATGCAATAAACTAAAGTGGACTTCAGGTCCGCTGCCAACAACAAAAGATGCCTCAGTGGATTGAAATTATATCTAGGCTATTATACAATTTCCCCAGTGATTAAAGGGCATTTTTAATACAGTAGCTTGCATTAACTGGATTAGACGCAGACAATAACCAAATTAAATACACTGTAGAAAGCTATAGTTTGTGTCTTGGAGTAATCTGACATTCAGTTAAACACAAGCAAAAGCACAATGTTGTCATTTCAATCGCATGCACCGTCATTCAAACAGCAACTAAAAAATGATCATTTACTGCCATCTAGTGATGCACATAAATCAAACAGAAGAGGTGAAAGATTTGTGATACCATATTGCCCTCTTATGGATGTTTTTAATCTCAACAAAGGACATTTAACTCTTTTATCGTTTTGTCTCATCTCAAGACTCATAACAACTTTTTAACGAAAAAAAAAATCAAAATTACTCACCAAATGTAAGATTTTTATAGATAAAACGAGGTATCCACTCGTAGTCCTTCCCTTGACACGTACGATCAAAATTCATTAATTGGAAACAGGTGTATGAGTTTTTTTTTTTTTTGTTTTTTTTGAGAACTTTTATTTTGCATTAGTTTTCATTTTTAATGTCTCGTAGAAAATCAAGAAGCCAAGTAAAAAACGTAATAAAAAAATTAATAAAAGCAATGTAGTTTAATAAGTGTACACGAAAAACAGGATGTTTTACCATCATCCATTATCTTTGAATTATTCTGACATTAGAGAAAACATTTTATGAATATTAACAATAAAACAGATTTAATTCCAGAAATAAAATAAATGCAGTAAAATAATATAATAAATACACTACATATGGCTAGCTAGTATATATATATATATATATATATATATACCCTATATAAAATAATATAATAAATACACTATATATAGCTAGCTAGTGTGTGTATATATATATATATATATATATATATATATATATATATTAGAATATATTATATACATACATACATTAGAATTGATTTTCAATTTTTATTTCCATCACTTTCTCTCCTTATACCTTTTTCATTCATTCAAAACCTATAATAGTGATTTTTCTATGATTATATGATTTTTCTGTGTGATATATATATATATATATATATATATATATATATATACAATATATAAAATAAACTTATAAATACATTATTTGTTTTAAATGATTTGGTTATTTGTCAAATTAATTTAACAATGTAATTTAATTCTCTAAAAATTAAAATTAAATGAACTTCAATGCACCGTGCATGTGAAGAGAATTTTTTTTCAGTTTCATGTAAACAAAAAATAAACAAGCATATCAAATATAATAATCGTTTTAAACATAAAGTAATCATTTATTTACAATTATATATATATATATATATATATATATATATATATATATATATATATATATATATATATATATATATATATATATTAATATTTTTCCACAGTTTCATATTAACAAAAAATGTCTATTTCCCGTTCACTTCTTTGAAAGTGTAGTGTGCACTCTGTGCTGCACTATCATGTAGCGTAGTTCAGGCTCTAGTCTGTAGAATGAGAGAGATGGAGGGGCGGGGTTTGTTCTGTGCACTTCGCTCGGGGCCGCGCATCAGCCGCTGAGCTGAGCCCAGGACGCGCGCACTTGCTGCTCGTTCTTTGTCCTCCATTGCAGCTGGTGTTCGCAGCTCCGCCGCACAGCGCAGGCCCGAAGTAGCGCAGCCGCTCTGAGGTTAGTGCCCTACCGCGCAATCTCCAGCCATTTCAGCCCCGGCGCAGCCGCACCAAACAACCCGGCAGCGTTTGTCTTTCACACACTCAGATGCAGATCGCGACGATGCGAAACAGAACTCGGGACGATATCGAAAGCATTTGACAGGATGGCAATTATTATTTACCCCGCTCAAATTTGGGGCAAAATAATCATGGCGCTTTCGCAGGCCTTTGGCCTACTGAATTTAGATGTGCAATCGTAATCGCTCTTGTTTTGTCCAGATGCTAAATGGGTTTTCAGTGCTTGAGAGCTTGTGTTTATATGCTCTTGATCTGGCAATCGGATTTGAATGCATGTTTCATGCCATATTAGCACAGAAGTGTTATCGATCAGTCGAATGTTTAAATCGCTTTATACAGAGTCGACAACGGTACCGGCTAAAATTGATTTAGAAGATAATTTCAGATGTTTTGAAGCTCGTCTTAAATTTTTACTGTCGTGTATGAAATAGCAGTTTGAACAGGGTTCAGTGTTTAATGCTTCACTATTACAGTTCGCACTATTTACATGTATTATTCACAGTTTGAAAATAACCGCCATTTATGTGTTTGTTATTAATGCTAGAGATGACTAACGTTGGTCTATATTGATTCAGTTATTTTAGAAAATCAAACCTACCCTTTATAATGGCTATTAGTGGTTGTTGAAATGTCTTTTGATATTTGTAAACGTTTTTGGTCTTGGGTATATCATTTCTTACCATTTTCCAGAACGTAATGTCAGGGCCGTTGTTGAATTGAACAACGATGATGATGATGCTGCAGCGCGACCCGATATTGGGTATTTAATATCTATGTGGATCATTCGTAGCAACTACGTCATCCTAAGTTATTCCTACATACGTTTTTATTTGTTTTTTTTTTATTATTTGTTTTTAATTCAAAACGTTTTAATACATTTCATTCATACTCCTTGCTGTGAGAGAAATGTCATTAGAGTATCTTATTAATCAATAAAACTTCAATTTAAAAGTGTTCTCTCTCTGTGTCGTTGGGTTTGTCATTGATAAAGCTTTGGTTTCTTCCTGTAAATAATTCCTGAGCTATTTATTTACATGATTGTACAGAGCTAAATTCTAATACACACAGAAAAGGTATATGCTTGCTGTTAATAATTTGGAATTCTAACATCTCCTTGTAGTCATACAGACTACAGCCAAAACATGATCACTGTTAAATTAATAATATGTGAAAATTATATTGTTTATATGTGATAAGTGCCCCCTACTGGAGTGATGTTTAAAGCAATAAAAATAATTTAAATGGTTATTAGATAACTTGTGTGAAAGGAGACACTTTTCCTAAACATAAAGTGCAAACTACTTAGGATAAAGAGCATATACTTTTACAAATGTCAAATTTTGGGTGGCTAATTGAGATCACACTCTGACCCAGTTTATCTGAATTCACCCCAGATTAAATGTTTTGTCATGATGTTTCAGTATAAAAGAATATCTGCCAACACTATATTAATAGAATATCTATCTTGGAAGTCTGATTCACATTAAATACTAGTAAAAAGTGATTTTGGTTGCTATTATAAGGCAATGTCATAAGATGATGCCCGCTTAAATTTTTGAGTGCATTTTTAAATGCATATTCAAATTAAAATACACTTGCACACACACACATATATATTTTTGAGTTGGGCCACCTCAAATTATTAGGTCAACAACTCTCACTCTGACCTAATCTATTAAATGTAAGCAAACAAGTTAGCCTACTTGTGGAATGCGTGTGTGCTAATATATTGTTTATGTGTGTCTCAGTGTGTTGAGAGAAACTGTATCGGGTGATGGAAGACCACACGGTGCATCAGACAGAGCACATGACCACTATCGAGGCCCATGCCGTCTCTCAGCAGGTCGGGCAGGTGCATGTCGCCACGTACACAGAGCACGGCATGCTGAGCGCTGATGAGGATTCGCCCTCCTCGCCTGATGATGACGCTTATGATGACTCGGACATCCTCAACTCAACTGGAACAGATGAGGTCACTGCACATCTGGCTGCTGCAGGTCGGTTCCAGCACATTGTTGTTGTGTACTGACTTTGACTAGTGGTTATTACACTGACCACTAGATGGCGAACTGAAACCATAAATTGGCAGCTGAGCATGGCGCTAGCAATATCACTCATTGCTTCAATTCCCAGTGAATACACAAACAGCGTATCTACTGAATGATATAAAATGTCTAAAAACAGCTGATTTTATGCTCCTAATTCTTTTTCAGGACCGGTTGGCATGGCAGCAGCTGCCGCTGTAGCAACAGGGAAGAAACGTAAACGGCCGCACATCTTTGAATCAAACCCTTCAATCCGTAAAAGACAACAGACCCGCTTGCTTAGGTGAACTATATTCGCAGTATTGTTCAATGAATTTGTATTAAGTACCAGTGGTTTTTACAACGTAAAATAATATATCTTGATTAAAACAATCAAAACAGAGTATTATTTATCTTAGGATTATTCATATGCAATTATAATATTTATTAATGTTTTAAATTATTAGTAATTTTCAGTTTCTCTTGGCTATGTGCTTTTGTAATTTTTATTATCTTTATTAAATAAATTTAATAAAAAAAATCTAATTAGCGTTAATATATTGCTATTTTTTATGTATTTGAGTTAGTCGCAACGGAATCATTTCAAGTGTATGTTTTTCATCTAATATTTATATATATTTAATTTCAGCTTTATTTCAATTACGAAAAATATTTTGGTAACACTACAATCTTTTTTAACATTAGTTAATGCATGAACTAACTTCACAGTTTGAACAATATATTTTTACAGCATTTATTAACCTATGTTTATATTAGCTAATACAGTTGACAGTGCTAATGTTAACAGAAATGTATGTATACATTAAAAAAATGTATTAGTAAATGTTGAGATTAACATTAAGTTTAATAAATGCTGTAGAAGTATTGTGCATTGTTAGCTCTTGTTAAGTAAAGTAGTTAAAAACGAAACCTTATTGTAAAGTGTTACGAATTATAGTTAATAATAACAGCACTGACTCTTACTATGTCTGCAGGAAGCTGAGAGCGACTCTAGACGAGTACACGACACGGGTTGGCCAGCAGGCTATTGTGTTGTGCATCTCACCCTCTAAACCGAACCCTGTGTTCAGAGTATTTGGAGCGGCGCCATTAGAGAATGTGGTGAGCATTTTTACTGTGCATTTCTTCTTCATAGCATTTGCACTGTTTCTGATTTGACCCTAGTTTTGTTTTGATGTCCTGTGATCAGGTGAGGAAATACAAAAGCATGATTCTGGAGGATCTGGAAAATGCTCTGGCTGAACATGCGCCCCCTGGAGGCGGGGAGCTCACCTCTGAATTGCCTCCACTGACTATTGACGGCATACCAGTGTCTGTGGACAAGATGACACAGGTGGGCACCAGGTGGCACTATGAGCCTGGAATTTTCTGCTTTGCCATGCAAATGAGCTTTTTCTAGACTCATGCAGCAGCATTTAATTGAGACGTGGAAGTCATCTCACTTCAGGGCTTTAGCACAGGTTGCTTTTACTTTTGGCCTGGCATAAGACCACATAACCAATTCAGCCACTTCATTTACCAGCTAGCCCATTACTCGCTGTCCCACATGCTTTGTGCTGATAGCTGAGGTCCCTCAGGACAGACACACCTTGCTTGGGTTGTGGCAGTTGGAGGCAGGTCTGTGCAGGGATCATCAGGTGAGCTTGTACGCGCGAGTAATTATCCGGCACATCGTGGCTGAGCACAGGGCTTTCTGATTGGCTCCCAAGTGGATTAGGAGCAGAGCAAGGGGAGGCAATGGGCAGCTGATCTCGGAGTGTTTGGGGCGTGAGATTCCTCTTAATTCCTTCGCCATGTAATTAGACCATCTGCACAAACACAAGCAAGAGCGCACAACTCATGATGCCACTGTAGACAATCTGTTACATTACTTTGAACCCTGTGCTTCAAGTTCAGGTTTTAGCTGTTATCGTGATTTATTTATGTACATTGAGGTTTTTAAATTGGGATTTGTTAATATAATTTTCAAAGGGGCAAAATAATGGGCAAGAGTTTTGAATTATTGCTATTTTTAATGTTTTGAAAGAAGTATCAAGCCTGCATTTATTTGATCAAAAAAAAAGTAAAATTGTGAGATATTTTAACAATTAAAATGTTTTTCTATTTGAATATAGTTTTAAAATATAATTTATTCCTGTGATGCAAAGCTGAATTTTCAGCATCATCAATACTCCAATCTTCAGTGTCCCATGATCTTTCAGAAGTCATATTGAATGCTGATTTATTATCAATGTTGGAATCAGTTGTGCTGCTTAATATTTTTTGATGAATAAAAAAATAAAAAGAACAGCATTTATTTAAAATAGAAATTTTTGGTAACAATATACATTATCGTTCTTTTTTTTTTTTTAAAGAAGTGAATACTTTATTCTGCGAGGATGTGTTAAATTGATTAAAAAAGTGATAATTGTTAGAAAATATTTCTATTTTGAATAAATGCTGTTTTGTTCAGATCACAGAAATAAATTATATTTTAAAGTATATTAGAAAAAAACATTATTTAAAATTATAATAATAATTTTACAATACACTTTGAGTGTACTGTTTGAAATACTTTTTTTTTTCTTATCCAGCTATCACAACTGGAAGAATCTTAGAAATGAATTGCTCAAAAACGTGACTTTTTAATAAATTAGTCGTATCAGAACTTTTCACCATGTTGTGGTCTGTCACCGTCCAATGTCAGGCTTATAGGAAGTGTTTGTGTTTGTGACAGTGAGAGAGTGGGAGGGAGGGAGAAGCTCTTTTGGGAACTGATTTATTCCTCCCAAGCCAAATTTAGCCTGTGATGTGGAGGTGAACAGACGTTGCTACAGAGTGCTGTGTCCCTGCCCTGCCTACGGAATTACCAAGGGCACTGAGGGCAATGGGATAAACTCCACCCTCACCCCCAGGACAGAGCTGTCGCTGGGCTAATGGACTGCCCCATACAACGCAGTGTTTTTTTTTTTAAGACTCATTTAGGCTAAAAAAAAAAAAAAGCCCTTTATTGTCGTGTTAATACCTTAACAATTCCTTACTAACACTTTTTTTTTAAATTACGACTTTAAGCCCATTAAAATACATTTCAAATCGAAATCATTGCGAAATTCATTTACTGAATTTTCAATAGTTTTTTTCCCCCTTGCATTTATTATTTCCATTTCTTAGTTTTATTGATTTGTATTTATGCTGATTTTTTTATTTATCTTTCATTGCATCTATTTAACCATCTTTAAACTTTAAAAAGACAGCACAGATTTCTTGTCTTTTGTTTTATTTTGTTTTTTTTTTTACATTAAAGTGGCAATTGCTTCAGACTTCAGCGTCACTTGCACGTTCAGAAATCATTCTAATATGCTGATTTGTTGCTCGAGAAACATTTTTTATCAATATTGAAAACCTTAATATTTTTCTGAAAACCGTAATGCATTTTTTTCAGGACTCAGAAAGTTCTAAAGAACAGCATTTATTTCAAATAGAAATCTTTTGTCAAATTTATTTCAAAAAACAATCTCATTAACCCCAAACTTTTGACCAGTAGTGTACTTATTTATTTATTTGTTGTGTACATAATCTATAGTGCAGTGGTGTATGTTCCATCTTCTTAATCTCCTGCAGTCAGTGTGCAGTGGAGCCTCACCCATAGATTAATCTTTAAATAGAAACCTAATAGTCTACTTTTAGCTTTTCACAAGCTTTACGTGTCGGCAGACTGTCTGTACTCCGTTTCAGAAGGAAGGGGAAAATCAATAGCTTGCTGATTCCAAACTCTCTTCACACAAATGTAATTTTTCCAGAGGCCATCGTGCGCTCTGCCACTCCCAGTTTAAAATCTCCCACAGTGATTGTACACTCTTTGTTGCCTTTTCAGGCCCAGCTCAGAGCGTTCATTCCAGAAATGCTAAAGTATTCCACAGGCCGTGGGAAGCCTGGCTGGGGGAAAGAGAGCTGCAAGCCCATCTGGTGGCCGGAGGACATTCCTTGGGCCAACGTACGCAGTGACGTCCGAACAGAAGAGCAGAAACAGAGGGTAGTGTTGGGGGCTCACACTAGGACCGGGATATATTAATAAAAAACACTACAGAATATTTTCTATATATCAATATATAGAATATGGTTAAAAATTCAAAACTAAATGTAAATATTTGTTTAAAATGGTAAAATATTATATTAAAATGTGTGTAGATTTGATATAATACATGTATAATACATGTATTTTCCTTCATATATATATATATATATATATATATATATACATGTATTTTTCTTCATATATATATATATATGAAGTAAAATACAGTAGAAATTTAGATTAAAATAAGAATAGGTCATATTTAACCATTTACCACACCATAGTTTTGTCAGTTTTTCACAAAATGACATCTGAATTGAAGCAAATGAACTAAAGCTTGCATCACCTTGATTTATCGAGAGCTTGTTTCCATTGAAAACAGGTGTCATGGACGCAAGCCCTGAGGACTATCGTTAAAAACTGCTATAAGCAGCATGGGAGAGAGGACCTGCTCTACGCCTTTGAGGACCAGATCACCCCACAGCAAGTTGCCACAACAGCCACACACAGCATCGCACACCTAGTGCCATCACAAACCGTAGTGCAGACGATCAGTAATCCTGATGGAACTGTCTCGCTCATACAGGTGAGCTCAGGTCCCAGTTGTGGGAACAAATGCACGGTTGTTTTTGACTACAGTATATACAAGATCCAATGGAGGACTTCATTTTTAATATAGAGAAAGATCAACTAGCGAATTCACCAGCGAATCCTCTTTTAATCAAATAAATGCAGCCTTGATGAGCATATGAGACCTCTTTCTAAAACATTAAAAAGTCCCCACAATTTTAAAATGGTAATTTTTTTTTGTGTATTTGATATCTATATCTCTCTTATAAATAAGATATTTTTTTAAAAGTATTAAATTTACACTAGTGGTCACATTACAGTATCCTAACGTCCAAATTTGAACTAATCAAAAGGTTGGCACTGGAGCCACGGTAGCGACACTGGCAGATGCGTCAGAATTGCCAGGCACGGTGACAGTCGCCCAGGTGAATTACTCCACAGTTACAGATGGAGAGGTAATGTCAACACACACTTCCTTTTCCGAATATTCCATCTTGTGCTTGTTCTGTCCTTACACACATATACTGTACTCTTAGCTCATATCTCTCCCTTCACACCTATCATTGTTATTTCGTCTCTAAGGTGGAGCAGAATTGGGCCACACTACAGGGAGGCGAAATGACCATCCAGACCACGCAAGCGTCTGAGGCCACGCAGGCTGTGGCTTCCTTAGCCGAAGCTGCGGTTGCTGCATCACATGAGATGCAACAGGGGGCAACTGTTACCATGGCACTCAACAGGTACTCATGGGATGTAGAGGTGAAGCTGGGGTTGGGGAGAGAAAGAAAGGAAATACTGAACAGCAGCAGCATCTAGGTGCAGGTTTAAGTCCCCAGGGTCTTATTAACAGGCCTCACCTGAGCCTGTTCTCCTGTTTATCACAAGGAGTTAGCAGCAGCAGCACAGAAATACAGGACAACGGGAACAATTGGATCATACTCCATTCCCACAACAATTAGGCTGAGGAGGCATTGTTTTCTGCTCAACAGTCTTCATTAAAGCAGTAAATCCACCATCAGTCTGCTTAGCACAGTCAGGATATCTACAAATGGGATCAAAAAAGTCTACTAAAGCCCCATAGCACTGAAAAAAACCCTTTTTTGTCAGTATCTCAAATGGAATCGAGATAGACAGTCGCTATTTGGATTGGAAGCCCATTTCTGCCACATTGGAAAAAAAAATCGTGCTTAGTTTGAATTTCAGATTATAAAATAAAAACTCATGATCATGTAGTAAGTCATAATTTAGATTGTGACAAAAGTTTGAGTTTTGTCAATTTTCTTTATCTCAGAATGTCTATTTTGGATATTCATCATAATTATGACTTAGAAAGTTGAAATTATGACATAGTGTTGTAATTGACTGTAATTGTAATTTTTGATTGTCGTGACAGATTAGTATGTCATAATTTTTAATTTTTTTATATAATTATTAAGTCTTGTGATGAAAATGTCAAAACATTTTGTCCAAATATGACTTTTTATCTCACAATTTCTCACTTCAAAAGAAGTCCGTTTCAAAATACTATGTCATATTTTAGACTTTCATCGTTAACACTTGGTTGTGTTAATAAACCACCATACTTTTTTTGCATACAGTTACTGTAGACTACAACAGATTTAAACATGGATAAATGGTTATCAACAGGGTCGCTGAAAAGGACAAATGCAGAAGTTTCTTCATCTACAAGTAAGGATAAATCTTCAGCAATGCATGACATCAAAAAGACAAAAAATAAAGGCTGAATTCAGTAGTGACTACCTAGCTAGTCTTCACATGTGTGGGAGCGGAGAACATGCAGCTACTGCTCTGTTTCTGAAATTAAGCTTTATATTATTTAGCTTTTTAAGCTTTACACATTATTTTACCTGAATAAGCTTTACGTTAAGCCTGGTCTATGTTTGAGGAGATATCAACCTTTGCATTATGTGAGTCACAAAGATTTTAGTTTACAAGGTCTAATTGTTATGCCAGAGTCTCTTGAGGCTCATCCAGGCCTAGTTCTACCCTCAAATGAAAGAAAAAGCACAGCAGCATCCTCAGTTGAAGCTGTAATAATAGTATATTGGCAAATGTTTCTATTTACAACGTGCTTTTTTCAGTGTTGAGCAATGTAGCCAATCACAGACATATCTGTTGATTTCTTGAACTCAATGGCCAATCAGGGCTGTTTAAGTTAGTCAGAATCCACTCACCGCTCAGTTTTTGTTCAGTGCTGAATGCAAGCTAGCGAATCCTCTCATTTTAACAAAGTGTAGACACAAAAGTGATAGACATAGTGACCATTGCAATGGACAGGACAAAAATCTGATATGTGCATTAAGGCTGGAGCACGCGATTTGATTCTGGAAATCTGCTTATGTGTCAGAAATGGGCGTCCGTATTTTGGACATCTATCACGAGAGAAAGAAGATCTTTTAGGACAGTGGTTATCTTTTTCTGGTTCCTCTTGAGTGACTTCCTGCACTAGGGGGCAGTACACACCAATTCACATTAATACATCTTAAATCCTGTATTAAGCATTGCATGTTTATGAAAGCATGGATATTGAAGATTATTTCCTTAATTTACATCTGTGTGTTGCAGTGAAGCAGCAGCTCACGCAGTGGCGACATTAGCGGAAGCGACTCTTCAGGGCGGAGGACAGATTGTGTTAGCGGGGGAAACGGCGGCCGCAGTTGGAGCTTTAACTGGAGTTTCTGATGGCAGTGGTATGAACACTTGCTCTATATCACAAGCATCCACACACTCTGTTCCAGCCTGACATTTAAATACATAACAAACAGGAAAGTGTGGGATGGGCGGACATATGATGAAACTTCCCTTTCGTCATCACTCATATAGTATGTGAGGGAACGTATGGGTGTCATGTAAGGTGTGTTAGAGCGTGAGGAAGTCAGTGGAGGTCTATTGTAATCCCTGGGGTGTTTGTGGGACAGATGGTGACTCCAGGTTCTACACATCTTGCTAATCCTTGCTTTGACTCAACCACTAAGCGCTCTGCATATGCACGGCACCCTCTAGTAGTGCTGCTTACACATGCATTAGAAGCCATTTTACAAACCAAGAGCAGTGCCAATGTGTACTATAGGCATTCATTACTGCCTATACTGGTTTCCTTTTTTAGCTGCTATAAACTAGGTTAGATTGAAAGAAGCTAGAAAATCAACATAAGTTTGTATTTTTTCTCTTCAAACCATGACATCCTTGAAGACAAAGTGAAGTGCCACTTGCAAACCATTTCCATAATGTGTTTCAACAATGAAAATTTTCAACAATGAAAATTGTTGCAAGTTGATTTTGATTTAAGATAACAAAGACAAGCATTTTTTAGGAATACACCAATATTGCAATTCTTGCCAATGCAATAGGACGATAAATCTGGCCAATAATCAAAAAATGACAAATCTAAATTCATTAACACTTTAACATTCCGTTTATTAACATTAGTTAACTATATTACATTATATACCACTGAAAAATAATTCTAAATCATTTATTAATCTTAGTTTGTTCACTTCAACAACATGAACTAATAATACTTTAGCACTAACTAATGGGACCATATTGTAAATGTTACTCAAAATTTTATAGTCAATTAAAATAATAACACAACCTAAAATAATTTAAATGCTACAAGTAAATTTAGTATAAGGTACAGTATGATAAATGGTTATTCATTTTTTGTGTATAAAGATTTAATTGTCTGCTGTTTCAGATCCATATTGGTTTGAGTAAAAGAAACTTGCTGAAAATAAATAATAGTAGCTTTTTACCTTCATGATTTTGCCGTTTATATTAAACAAACTTAATTATTAAATTCCAAAATGCATTCTTTGGATGGACATTCGGTTAGTGGCGGATGCTTTCTCGGCTATAGGAACATTCAATTAAAGATTCAAATTTAAAGATTAATATCATTCAATATGTTCCGATAAATCAGCGTACAATCGATATGGTGCATCCTTCATTTTTTATTTATTTATTTTTAATATACACTGATGATTCGTTCAATAACAATAAGACCAAGAAAATTCATCAAGAAAGTAAATGGGGTCCAAGTTGCTTTAATGTTGCTGCTCAAAAGTTGGTCCAGTCATACCTGCCCATTTCCCAGTGACCTATCGTAACTAGTGTCCTGGTTTACCCCATTGCCCCCATTGACCAAAGAGAAGCCCCCCCCCCCTCCTCAACCCCCGAGGAACCCTCTTAAAGGGCTTTGATCCTCTCCATTATCAGAGCATAGTCTAATCACAGAGCCAGCTGTCAGCACCGGGAAGCCCAGTCTATAAAACACACACACAATCTCACATGACATTAAGAGAATAGACAGGAGCAAGGGCTGTATTTAAACATAAAAGCTGATTAGCAGGCATTAAAACTACATTTAAAGACATGGGCGTCACGCATTTCTTGGTATTATTATATGACCACTGCCGTAACAAAATGAATCGTTTTGAATGAATGAAAAGTTTATTAGCAATTGTACATATGCATGAAATATACTACATATTGAACTGTACTTTTTGGGGGAGTAGAGGAGGGCAGTACAGAGAATGATACTACGTCCCATTTCCCACATACGTAACCGAGCATGTTGACTGTTCATCTAAACCAGCACCAGCAGTGAGTCCCGGAGAGCAACCTCTGCCCAAAACGAGGCCCTCATCGTTAAGCTGTGCAATTAAACCCAAATTACGCTTCAGCACGGGGAGGTTTGGGAGAGCGTAGTCAACAACAGACAGACACTTGACAGACAGCCAGTGTTTATTGACCTTATTCAATCAGCGAAATGGCAGTGCGGGTGCAGCTTTGAAGTGGCTGGTCTGAGGTAATCGTGACTGATTTATGTTTCTTGCTCCAATGCCTCTCTATTGCTCCGTAAGCCTTGCAGAAACCCTCAATGTCAGAGTGACTGAGGGTTTGTAGGCTCTTCACTCAAAAAAACCCCCAAAATTATTGAGACACGTTGTGATTAAAGGGATACTTCAGGATTTAGCATTAAGCTTTGTATTAGTAGAAAACCTGTAGTATTTTCAAATTATCGTGCTTTCCACCGTCATATCCCCAGAGATGTATTTTTTGTCTGAAAAAAAAATCCTTCGACAACGCAAAAATCATTATTTTGCATCATCTGAGGATTTTTTGGCCAGAGGCTAAAGACTACAGTCAGTAGTAGGGGCTGTCCCGCATGTTTTCAACCCGCCCATAGAGGGTGGGATCTCACTCACAGAAGGTACACACTGTGTCAGCCATCTTTTTTTGGAAGCTAAGCTAGCAGGCTCTTGTTCTGTGGAGAAAGAATGTTTTGGGCGATCTCAAAACACATTTTCAGGCAGACTCATCAGACTTGTTGTTTAACTACTGCGCTCTGTTAGCGGTAGGCGTGGCCTCTTAGGGCAGCAAAGCAAGTGCATTCTGGGAGTTGTTGTCTTTCATCAATATAAGCCAAAAATACATTTTCTGGCTTTTCTCAGTCTAGAAAACTCCAAATTAAAAAAAAATATTTTCACATTTCTTCTACATAAATGACCCAGTTTAAATACACATTCATCTTTCCAGAGGTGAAATATCCCTTTAAGAGAAATTAGAGTCACTTGTATCTGATATTTTTTCCCTTTTTAAAGTGGTGAATCTCATAAATCATGTTGGTGTTTTATCAAAAAAAAAATATATATGTGTATATGTATAGTTAATACATGTAGTTGATTATTATTACTCTGTATTTAAATGTCTAATTACACTGTAACAAGGATACCTTAAAATACAGTGTAACCTCATTGTAATAAGCACTTTCTAATTTAAAGTGAAAATATTATATTTATTAATTTTAATTTACAATCATTTAAAAATGGGTGAAGAGCTTAATTATCATATCTTCTATTTTAATGAACATTTTTTGACCGGTTTTGTGAGATTCACCCTAAAAATTCATTAAATTATTCTGTGGTAAACAAGTCAAAATCATTTTCCATGCCTGTTTAAGATGCATTTTAGCTCAAAACTGATCTACTTTTGTGTAAAGCTGCAATTAAAGGGAACATTTAGCTTGGGGAGATTGTGCCGGCATGAAAAGATAAAGCAACTGACAGCCTAAATGACGAGTTTGAAATACGAGCCTGCCTTTGAGACGCTGGGACAGAGTAGCATCGTGAGACTATTTTACTGCACACTTTCAGAGAATGAACACAACGCGCAGGTACGTAACCGCAACAATTTCTCGACGGGTTTACGAGTCACGGTTAGTTTTGACCTTTCGCATTGCCCATATGAGCAGGTTGCTCACCCTCCTGCCCCGTGTGACTGCAGCAGTAATCCAGGCTGCTCTGCTCACAGCTGGGCGGGGAAACAGAGGTGGATTGAGAAAGAGAGAGGGGTTTAACCTCGAGTCAGAGAGGGAGAGAAACGGAAGCTGGGAGTGGCCGCCTCAATTACTCCATTGTTCCGCATTGCAGTGTGATGCTCTAGCCCAGCCCTGGCCACGTAGCGTTCAAACTCTTAACATGGCCGCTCGATTGCGCACGCTCTGCGGCCTCATCCAACCGCACTTCAAAACTCCCCTCCCTCCCAACTGTCTCAAATGACAAGTTACGTGCATCCCAAACCACTATGCTTCGCTGATGACATCACAGTTGTACTCTTCAGCATCTTCAGCTAGATCTGAGTGACCGAAGTTAGTTTATACACAGAAGTTGTCATATGTTAACGGGTGTTTGTGTCATCTCAGGTCTCGTCCAGATTCCAGTCAGCATGTATCAGACGGTCGTCACCAGTTTGGCCCAGGGAAATCGACCCGTTCAGGTGGCCATGGCTCCCGTGGCCACGCGCATCGACAACACGGTAACACTTGACGGACAGGCGGTGGAAGTGGTGACCCTAGAACAGTGACATACTCTACCCCTGCAGATGTGTGGGACAGGAAATTCAGCACCGATGTGAAGTGGCTGCTGGAGTATAGTGTAAAAATAATATTTGAACCTGTTCACATACGTCTGCAGGGGTTGGATGGCTTTTTCCTGTTAATATTATTATTGTTATTTTTTTACATTGTACACAGTTCATTGTCTTACTTTTTTTTCCTAGTGTTGTTTAATATGTTGACATTAGTTATTTTTTTTTTTTTTAGCTGATGTTTGATAAATGTATTGCAACAAAAGAAAACAAAATCAACCAAATTTTCAGCCTTCAAAAACTGGCATAATTTGTTTCTTACTCCCCAGATAAGTCATTTTTGATATGTTTTCTCCTCAATTTTTATCTAGGTTTATGTATATATATATATATATATTGTGAACCATCTTGTGCCATATTTGAATCATTTCATTAATATATTATGTGAAATTGCATTACGATTTTAGTGTTAGATTCCATTGACTACTGAGATGACATGCATGGTTTTTTTTTTTTTTTTTTTGTCAGGCTGTATAATGTAGAATTCTCTTTGTATGCATTTCACATTAATTCCCAATGTAAAAAAAAAAAAAAAAATGATATGACCTTGAATGATTGTGTGGTATATTGAATGAGACCACCGTTTCCTGTCGGTACAGAAGAACACTGGCACTCAGTGCTGTCTATAGACTTTCACTGAATTGTACTATTAATCGATAACTATAAATGTCGACGACTTACCAATGACAAGGCTGAAGATGTAGCACTCCGTATCGTTCAACTTTTATACTTCAAATAATGAACAGACGTTACATATTCATGGTATATTAGCATTTTGGAAACTGATCTAGTTTTGAAACTGCTGGGGAAAATGTTTTATTTATTTTTTATTTATTTTTCTTGGTTAGACGTGCGCTCATATCTTTAGATTAACACAAAAATCACACATTGAAAGAGCTTAAGATATAATACATGGCATATTTTGAATTCTGATGTTATTGCATATATTGCAAAGAACTATAAATTCATATCTTTTTCTTTATTTGTGTCAAATATGGATGTTTTGTTCCTTTCACTCATAACCCACTCTTGTCAAGTTTTCTGCTCCTGGTCGGTTTGAATTTTTATACTTCTGTAAGACTTGACGCAATGAGATCATTTTATGTAAAATATGTAAAATATAAGGTTGATGAAACCTAGATCTCCCATGTTGCCGGTGAAAGAATGATGGTAACATTGACGGAGTTTGTCTTTCCCTTTTTATCCAGTCTTGGAAATAAAGTGGCCACTATTCAGAATTGTGTTTTGGAAAATTATTACAGAAATATAATCACTGCTGACACAGGGAAAGTGCTTTAACAATATTACAAGTACTAGGCATACATAATAAAACATTAAAGACCCGTTTCCGATTGTAACAGTTTATTAAGAAAAATCATTTTGCTGTTATAGTTTATAGTTGGCCTCAAGGGGATCAACAGGTTTTTAGCACAACTGGAAATGCTGTATTCAGAACTATGAGCCATATTATTGCACTAACACCATCAGAAATCCCAAAATTTGAGAATAAATCCAATGTGGAAGTTGGTAATCTGCGTGCATTTAGATGCCACCTGTCTTATGTCAAGGTCACTAGTCACTTGTTTTTATGAAGTTGAGTAATCTCATCACGAAAACTCCATGACCTCTTTACAACAAAACACATGGTCACATCCACACCCCATCGCAAGCTTGTTGTGATGGATGGGGCTCCTGTTGCATCATAAGCCTTGATCCCTCCCTCCTAGCTAAAACCTGGATTTAAGGCCCGTGTCCTTCTGCCGAGGGAGGAGTAGGGAAACGCACTAATCCATCAGGCACCGCACACATCCCAGTGGCCCACTCCACTTCCAGATTATCAGCGTGGAAGTCCACGACCGGAGAGAGCTATGAAACTTGCAACTGTCTAATCCCTATCAAACCACATCCGTTCTGAATAGAGCAAAGTGAGAAGGACACGTTAAGGGAAGTGTGTATACTATAAGGGAGAGCGTGGACTTGTGTGTTTGTGGTTTCCAGGTCATGGTGGCAGCTGGCAGGAAATGTTCAGTGCACGCGTGCGTCAGTCGTGAGCTGCAGATTAAGGCACTCTTATTAGCACGCTTTCTGAGAATCGGCCCTGGTCCCGCCCTCATCCCGACCAAGTGCTTAGCCAATCTGTTCCTCAGTCGGGGCCGGGTTCACAGAACAGCGTTCAGCTCTAATCCGAATACATAACCACAATTCTATCTTAACATCAGAGCGTTACGTACCTGATTTAAGTGTGATGTCACTCGTAAAATCACTGACGAGTGTAGTGCAATCTTTGATACTTATGTAACAAATAAACTAGAAATACTTCTTAAAGGCTTTTGTATTTTTTTTAATTAATAAATCAAATTAATACAAATATTTTACTACACAGTTAAATTCATGAAATTTAAAATTGTACAGATTTGTTTCATCTATGCTAATGTTAATTAAAATACTCTTTATTTTTGATTCATTTTCAACGATAAAACATTAAATGTTAATTATGTAACCTGAAATGGCATAAGTAATAAATTGTTAATCAATATCATTTTATTGTAAAGTGTTATTTTTAGTGTTTTTTTTATGTTTTTTTTTTAATAATGTTTCCTAGATCCAAAATAGTCATACTTTAGAAATAAAAGGCATTTTTCCTAGCATGATTTTAGCCTAGACACTGTTTGAAGGTGCGTGTCTGCTGTTTGCAACCGGCTTTGATTGGCTGACATGCTTGCATATGAAATAGCGATGTATTACCGTGTATTACATGTGAAACTCTCTCGAATAATTTTACTACAGCTATTATACGTTTTTACAATGACATCCATCAAGACGAATGGTGAGATGTTTATGATGTATTTATATTCCCATCACATAAAATGTTGCTGTGATCAGCACTGAGCACAATGAGCAGCAGAGGACAGTCTGCCGATTGCGAGGATGAGGAGGCAGTGCAGTTTCTGCACTAATGCTTTCTTTCACCAATGCAGACACGATCATGTAAATTATGGAACGCGAACAGGGGCCTTTAAACGAAACGCGTGAAAATTATAAAAATAACGCGGCAATTTTTTACGTGTGTCTTTTATGAACGCATCAACACGCACTGTTTGTCCGCGTTAACGCGACAAATTTTTACGTTTCTTTTGAAGCATCAACACGCACTGTTTGTCCGTGTTAACGCGGCAATTATTTCCGTGTTCTTTTGAACGCGTCAACACGTACTGTTTGTCCTTGTGCGGCAATTTTTTCCGTGTTTCTTTTGAACGCGTCAACACGCACTGTTTGTCCGTGTTAACGCGGCAATTTTTTTTTTGCCGTGTTTCTTTCGAACGCGTCAACACGCACTGTTTGTCCGCGTTAACGCGGCAAATTTTTACGCGTTTCTTTTGAACGCATCAACACGCACTGTTTGTCCGCGTTAACGCGACAAATTTTTACGTTTCTTTTGAACGCATCAACACGCACTGTTTGTCCGTGTTAACACGGCAATTATTTCCGTGTTCTTTTGAACGCGTCAACACGCACTGGTTGTCCGTGTTAACGTGGCAAATTTTTTTTCCGTGTTTCTTTTGAACGCGTCAACACGCACTGTTTGTCCGCGTTAACGCGGCAAATTTTTACGCGTTTCTTTTGAACGCATCAACACGCACTGTTTGTCCGCGTTAACGCGACAAATTTTTACGTTTCTTTTGAACGCATCAACACGCACTGTTTGTCCGTGTTAACGCGGCAATTATTTCCGTGTTCTTTTGAACGCGTCAACACGCACTGGTTGTCCGTGTTAACGTGGCAAATTTTTTTTCCGTGTTTCTTTTGAACGCGTCAACACACACTGTTTGTCCGCGTTAACGCGGCAAATTTTTACGTGTTTATTTTGAACGCATCAACACGTTAATTCAGATGTAATTAAGATGTCAGTTGTCGTCGCGTTACATGTTAAAACGACCAATTTGAACGTGTTCATTAACGCGCACATTCTTGAAGTGTAATATTTTTAAAAAGTGCAGACTTACATTTAGATGTCTACATTTAGTTTATTATGGTATTGTGCTAGAGTAAAGTAATGTTACAATGTAGCCTATTAAGGGCTAATTATCCATATTATACAATTATTATACTTTATCTATATGGGTTAGCTATTTGTTTTTGTTATAATTTCCGAAAAGTATTATAGGCTAACTTACACAGCACATATTAACAACTAAATACACACACGCACACACACACACTCACACACGTAGCCTACCTGAATAAGTTTATTCACGTTCACATAATAATGTTTTGTAATTTGGTGTTAGTTGGTTTATGCTGTTGTCTGTATTGTTTCCAGGAACATCATCTTGGCTGCTGCAGGCTGACGAGTGCTATAATAAAATTACTACATTCTATTAGTTAAATGTGCCTTTACTTCGAATTCATTGATGGTGGCGGACTTTTGTGCAGCGTATGATGTTCACGGATGAAATGTGAACTAGGAAGAATGTTATAAAAAAATAAAATAAAATAAATAATTTTGGAATCAATGACAAATACATATCTGACCGTTGGAACAAACCAAAAAAAAAAAAAGAGAAAAATCGCATTCATGATGATTTATGGTCATTTTATTTCCGTTAGACCTTTGTCTACATTGATGCTGATGCATTAAAGTGGAGGGGCTCCCCTGTTTCAATATGGCGGCTCTATTGACGCATTCGTTCCAATGAACTGCCGTAGCTAAGGTGACGTCTAGTGTATATATAGTGTCATATAGCTTATGACAACCTTTATTTTGAAAAATTGTGATCCAGTCAACACCCTTATACACTTTTGTCCTATCAATTTATGTGTTACTTTAAAGAGAACAGTGGGGTTTTGTCCCTCTCTTTTTTAAACATATTTTTGCGAGTTTGTTCCCTATCACTTGTTCCCATAGATAAACTTTGTGATTTGTTTAATCAGCTAAAACGGGAATTGGATAGACAGAGGAGAAAGCTTTGCTAACGTAAGCAAGCCAAAGTTACTTATTGCACCATCAGTCTCAGAGCTGTAAATGTATAGGCATCCTTATTAGTTTTATATTTTTATGAAGGCTGCCATTATAGACGAATGGTAATAGCCGTCTGGTGGTATTGTGTCATCAGGGGAATATGGGGCAGAAGTATTGATTGTGTTAAGGAGAGGATATGGCTCTCCGCGGGGGGTTGTTCCTCCAGAACTGGAGCTCCACAAACTCTGGGGCAGAGCTTTAATCTCTGCTAATATCTTAATACACACTGCATCCCTTTGGCCCTCTCTCTTACACACACACACACACACACACACACACAGGCGTCCATGTAGCAGTAGCTCTGAACTAATGGATTATCCCCTCTACTAAACCCAGCCTAGCTGTCTGTCTGTCTGTCTGCCTGTCAGTTTATTAGGAAATTTGGTTGGCACAGGTGCCACACATCACATTAATACACATATAAACATTCAAAACAGATACATTATAAGAACACAAATACAAATGGTAAGCAAAGTACATTTTCCTCGCTAATAATGGAAGTGATGGACGGTTAATTATCGAATAGGCTTTTTTAACAACACATTCTTTAAAAATGTCAGTTGAACTCCTATCACCTTAATCAGCTTAGTCATCATCTATCTATGTATTGTGCACACACTTTTATTACACTTTCATCATTTTTCCCACAAAGCAAAACACTACTGTGAAAAAAAAAAAAAAAACCTGCACAGATGCTTCCTGAGGTAGGGGATATATTATTCCCACCACCATCATCATCACTTTCTTACATTGATGATGTTCTCACCATCATACGCACCTCGGCATCAGACAGTGCGTAAGAGAGATGGACCCTAATCTCATTCCACTAATGCTCTCTTTACATTAGAGTACAGACCGAGCTCTGTCTCAGCCATGCTCTTTCTTTCTCTCCTAACCAGGGATTATTCACTGAATGAGAGGAGTAGTCGGTACAGAGGAGGGGGCCTGGAAAATGCTGTGTAACCCGACCTGGCTGGCCCATCTGGAGAAGGCCCACATGGACAGAGATTTCCCACAAAGCAATTACTGCAGCCAAAGTTTCGGCAGGAATCTGACAATGTTCCTTTCTTCTCCCATATACGCATATTTACTTTGGATTTTCTGACGTAGAGAGGTAAACACAGGTGAACAGCAATAGCAGTGAGATACTGAAGAGGATAGAAAAAAAAACGACTAAATGAATTTAATGGGATATTGCAATGCATTTGGAAGTCTACA